TGCGAGGTGAGGGTGGGCTCGGTGGCCAGAGACCTCCACATGGTGCATGTGTGGCTGGAGGAGAGCAGAGGAGGGAAGGGAGGGAGTTTTGGCACCGGGTGCTGTCCTGGCAGGCATCAGATCCCTCCCTGACCCAAGGGTCATGTCACCCACCGCACCAAAACATGTCACCGTGTCACCACAGGACAGGAACCATTTGGTTTGTGTTGGAAGGGACCTTAGAGCTGCTCCAGCTCCAACCCCTGCCACAGGCAGGGACACCTTCCACTAGAGCAGGTTGCTCCCTGGCCTTGAACACTGCCAGGGATGGGGCAGCCACAACTACTCAAGGCTCAGCTGGGGGCTGGCACCGACTCACTCAGCAGCCTGGGAGGAGGTGACCTGCCCCGTAAGGCAGCTCTGAGCACCCCAAGGTGCCATGCTCAGCTCTCCAGAGCCAGCTTTGATGCACAGCAATTCCCCTCTGGAAGGCAGCTCCGGCAGCAAGCAGCCACGCTGCTCCACAGGGGAATTCCAGCTGGATCTGATTACTGGTGCGAGGAGCCAGAGATTAACCACAGCTTAGGCCAAAGCTGTGCCAAAGCCCAGGACCACGAGAGCACGTGCGGGTGCTGATCACAGTGAGGAGCAGGGCAGGACCTGTCAAAGGGCAGCGCACTGCCCAGTAGGCTGGACACCACCACGCTCTTGTGCTGGGAAGCCAGGATGTAAACGGTCTGCTGGGCAGCCTTCCGGATGTGCTCCTCATCCACCTCCTCCAGCTTGCTGTGGATGACGCTCATGATGTCAGGGACCTGGGGGATGAAGGGAGAGAGGCATCAGGCTGAGCAGTGGGACATCCAGTGTCCAGCTCTGGGCCCCTCACTGCAAGAGAGACATTGAGGTGCTGGAGCGGGGCCAGAGAAGGGCACCGGAGCTGGAGCATGGTCTGGAGCACAAGTGTGATGGGGAAGGGCTGAGGGACCTGGGGGTTTAGTGTGGAGAAGAGAAGGCTCAGGGGGGACCTGATCGCTCTCTGCAACTGCCTGACAGGAGGATGGAGCCAGGAGGGGGCTGGGCTCTGCTCCCAAGGAACAAGGGATGGGACAAGAGGAAATGGCCTCAAGCTGCCCCAGGGCAGGTTTAGCTGGAGCTGAGGAACAATTCCTTGCCCAGAGGGTGCTCAGGCATTGGAACAGGCTGCCCAGGGCAGGGCTGGAGTCACCGTCCCTGCAAGTGTTCACACCCCGGGTAGCCGAGGCCTCAGTGCCAGGGGTTAGTGGTGGCCTTGGCAGGGCTGGGAATGGTTGGACTGGATGAGCTTAAAGGTCCTTTCCACGCTGGTTGATTCCATGACTCTGATCCTATGACACACCAAGCACTCAGTGTCACCATCAGCCAGGACATGTGTGTCCCATCCCCTCAGGCAGCCCAGGCAGGTAATGGGACTTCAGGAGACAACATGGGTGGGCAGAACATCAGGCAGGGCCGTTATCTTCCCATCTGAGGGATGTCTCTGCTCACTGGGTGCATTTGGAACCAGTTCCAGACCTCTCTGGAGGTTGAGGATCCTTCCCCACCCTGGGGTCGAGGATGAAGGAGGCTACAGGGTATTCCAAGGGGTTAGAGGATGCAGCCAGGACAATCCTCCACCAGCCCCTGCCTCCTGGCAAGGCCCCTGTGCTGAGCCCCAGCCTCAGCACTGGAGCAGTGTGGGGAGCCCAGGGAGCAGAGCCCTCAGCAGAGCTGGGGCTGGACACAGGGAGATGCCTCAGCCCTGGAGGAGCTGCAAAACACACTGAGGCAAAGAGGAAGGTGAGGAACAGGACAGGCCCACAGCACATCCCTGCAGTGAAGAGCAGGGTCTGTCCCTCCAGCTCCCAGGCTCAGCATCAGCTCAGGTTCCAGGATCTGCGCTGGATCCGACCCTCGGGTGAATCATGGAAGTTGGAGCGATCCCATGTATTTGAGAAGGGGAAAGGGAGCAAGGGCTTGAGCAGAAGCTCTGGTGCAAGAGCAGGCTCAGGGAGCAGCCGCAGCCCTCGTGTTTCCCATTGCTGCAGGGGAAGGGAGAGCTCAGCCCAAAGGTGGGGATTAGACACAGAAGCCTCCTCCAGCACCTCTCAGCCCTGCACTTCCAGAGCAGGTTCCCAGACCCGGAGCCCCGGGGAGCAGGGAGCTTGGGAAGGTTTCCCAGGAGCCTCACCCCTCCTGAAATGAACTCCTCACCCTGAGCGAGAGCAGAGCGGGGCCACCAGAGCAGCCACCAAAGCTCCCCCAGTAGAGAGAGGGTGAGACATGGGAAAGGAGGAAGTGACAGTACCCAGAGAATCATCAGATAATGGAATGGTTTGGGATGGAAAGGACCTTAATCTCATCCAGTCCCAAACCCTGCCCCGGGCAGGGACACCTTCCACTAGAGCAGGTTGCTCCAAGCCCCTGCGTCCAACCTGGCCTTGGGGCAAGTTCCTCTTGCAACAGCCACAGCTGACACAGGGTTAAACACCTCCCTTCTCCCATCAGGGCTGGACCCTTCCCTGTGCTGGACATCACACTCCTGCCAAGGCCTTGAGCCTTCTGGAGCATCCTGGCCCATTCCAGAGGATCCTACCACTCCCAGCAAACCAGCATTGGAGCTGCCAGTGGGAATTTATGGGGCTACACTCAGGGGAGGCACCAAGACCCACCTGGAGCTGCCTCTCCCCTGCCCAAGGCCAAGAGTTGTACCTTCTCCTGCAGGACTGCTCCACGCTCCTTGAGCAGAGAGTTGATCATGACGGTGGCTGCTCGGGAGCAATTCCTGTCGGGATCCACCAGCCCCTCGAACAGGGCGAGCAGGAGGCTCATGAGCTGGTCCGGAGGGACGCGCTTCCCGACCACCTGCAGGGAGCACAGCGGGACATGAGCACCACATGTGGCTCCGTTGATGCCAAGGGCAGCAGGACAATGTCCCCCAGCTTGGGGTCCTGCTGGAGAGCACAGGCTGGTGGTGATGCTCTCGTGAGACCCCACTTGCAGCACTGCGGGCAGTTCTGGGGTCCCCAACATAAGAGGGACATGGTGCTGTTGGAGCAAGTCCAGAGGAGGCCATGAGGATGATCAGGTGCTGGAGCAGCTCTGCTCTGGAGCCAGGCTGAGAGAGCTGGACTGGGGCAGCTGGAGAAGAGAAGGCTCCTGAAGGGGACACCTTAGAGCAGCTCCAGTGCCTAAAGGGGCTCCAGGAAACCTGGAGAGGGGCTTTGGACAAGGGATGCAGGGATGGGATGAGGAGCTCCAGCGGGAAAAGGGAAGAGTTGGATGGGATCTTGGGAAGAAGTTCCTCACCATGAGGGTGGTGGGACACTGAAAGGGGTTGAAGGGAGAAGCTGTGGCTGCGCCCTCCCCGGCAGAGGTCACGACCAGGTGTCCCTGCCCGTGGTTTGGAACTGGAGGAGCTTTAAGGTCCTTTCCAATCCAAATCATCACAATTCTATGATTCTATAATGGAGGGGAGCAAGGGTCAGGCCATAGCCCTGAAGGAGGCAAGAGCCCACCTGCACCATGCTGCTTGTGAGCATGGCTGGATAACCTGGAGCTCAGGTTGTCCATCAGACCTGGGAACGGCCTCACCGAGCCACAGCCCAGCCAGGCACGAGTCCCTGTGTGCACAGACATCCCTGTTGGGGCACTGACACCCCATGAGGGGACCAGCAGCTTCCGTGTGGGGGTGAGAACCTCTGAGTACCCCAAGAGGTATCGCGTCCTCTGCAGGTCCCACTGCACACCCTGCAGAGCCCACGGCCACGCTGGGTTCACCCTGTACTTACCATGGCCATGTTGTTGCAGGTGTGGAAGAGGACGGTGAAGTCAGGCTCCTCCAGGCCTTTCTTCAGCACTTTCAGCCCCTCCACCATCTCATCCCGGTGATCCCGGGCAAAACCTGCATCCAAGAGGAGCAGTCATGGAGCAGCATTCCTCATATTCTGCACCCCAGAGGGACCTCTGCGTGCTGCAGAGCTCGGATTTGCCCCTGAGCTGGGCCAGCTTTCGGGAAGGAGCCAAGAAACACAAGGTGCTGCCAAGGGCCAGAAGAGCTTGTCCTGTTCTAGAGAGCAGGACCAGAGGATCTTAAAGGTCTTTTCCAACCTAGTTGATTCTATGAGACTGATTCCCACACAAGTTCTCCCCTGGTGCTGTGAGGGCTTCGCTTTCTCAGTGCCTCCATCTGAAGTGGAGGACTGACCTCTCCTGGAGAGAGGAGGAACGCCAGGCTCAAACCTGCTCCTGCCTGGAGAGCCTAAAGGGGCTGCAGGAGACCTGGAGAGGGGCTTTGGACAAGGGATGGAGGGACAGGACAAGGGGAATGGCTTTAACCTGCCAGAGGGGAGATTGAGATGAGCTCTGGGGCAGAAGCTCTTCCCTGGGAGGGTGCTGAGGCCCTGGCACAGGGTGCCCAGAGAAGCTGTGGCTGCCCCATCCCTGGCAGTGTCCAAGGCCAGGTTGGACACAGGGGCTTGGAGCAACCTGCTCTAGTGGGAGGTGTCCCTGCCCGTGGCAGGGGCTGGAGCTGGAGGAGCTTTAAGGTCCTTTCCCACCCAAACCATTCAAGGATTCCATGTTATCACGTGTGGAGGGATGGGATGTGCAACCCCCTGCCCTGCTGTGGAGAGGAGGGCACCAACCACCCCCCCGAGCAGCAAAACCCCCCTCCAGCACCCTGTGCCCACCCTCGTAGCAGAGCTGGATGTAGAGCAGGCAGTAGACACAGTCCACGGCGTGCAGGCGGACACTGCCCACTGAGTCGGAGCAGCGCGGGGAGAAGAGCGCCACGAGGACGCTGAGGTTGTAGAAGGGGATCACGGTCTGTGGGGACAAACAGGGTAACGCTGAGCAAGGAGAGCAGGGCAGAGCATCTCCCTGCGCCTGGGAAGCCCATCTCCTGGCCAGCACGGGGCGGGAGCAGGAGGAGCCCCAGGGAGCACGGGGGTCACTCACACTGACGTTGAGTTTGCTCAGGTAGAAGTCCAACAAGGCGGCGCTGACCTCCACCGCCCGCTGCCGCTCGTGGTCCTTGCTCGACTTGATCCAGGGGCCTAAATGCTGCAGGGGAGAGCACGAGGAAGGAGAGGAGCAGCTCAGCTGCTCTGCCCTGGGCAACCGAGGCGTCCTCCAGGCTGTAGGAACCACCACTGCGACCCAATAGCTCATCCTGGCTCATCCTCAGGACAACTCCGGGTCTTGGTGAGGCTGCGTGTGCATGTCCCCTGCTACTAGAGACCTCCTCACGAGCCATCAGCTGGCACCCTGGCAAGAGAAGGTGTGCCCAAAAGGGGACCCAAAGGTCCCTAAAGACCTTGCCTCAACCAGGCTGTGTACCCAGCATCTGCAGGAGGAGGATGAGGGTCACACCAGACCTCATGTCACATAGAGAAGATAGGACCCATCTCACTAAGGCCAGCTCTGGGTCCAAAGCCAGAGCTCTGGTTGGCAGATGGACCCCTCAGCTTCCCTGCTTCCCCCTGAAGAACCCACCAGAGCTGGGCTGCACCCACCGCAAACATGTCCTGCAGCCCATGGGGGGTCAGGTTCCTCTGCAGGAGGCTCTTCAGCAGGTCTTTGAGGGCACTCATGGTGTCACCATACAGTACCTAAGGAGAAAACATGGGTCAGAGGCTAGGCACGGGCAGCACCTCATCCCAGAGCCACGGGTGCATGCTCTCAATGCACCTATTCTCAGCCTGTAGGACCCTCCTGGGTGCTGGGTGCCAAGATGCAGCCACCTCCAGCTAAGGAGTAACAGGGACTGGAACCCAATGTGTAAAATCCACCTTACTGGAAGTGCTGGGAACAGGGTGGGAATTGGCACAGTGGTGGCCGTGACCTGTGCCAAGTGCCAGCACGCACCAGGGCTGAGCACGGATGCTTCAGGGCAGGCTTCCCACAGGGAATTTGGTTCTTCTCCCGTCTGGGGATAAATTCCAGAGAGCCAGGTTGGAATGAGCCCTGGGAACATGCTTATGGATTCCTTCCAGGATGTATTTTGGGATACAGAACTCCATGGTGCCATCAATACAGTGGAGGGAAGAGCTGTGATCCAGAGGGACCAGGACAGGCTGGAAGGTGGGAACCTCCTGAAGCTCAACCAGGCCAAGGGCAAGGTCCTGCCCCTGGGTCGGGGCAATCCCAGCACAAACACAGCCTGGGGGAGACTGGATGGAGCAGCCTGAGGAGACGGA